GGTGCTACATTGCTACTCATAATACACGTCTAGATCCACCACTGATGACCTTTATTGTCAAGTTTTGTCAGAAGGAAGACATGATGAGCTTTTAATAAAAAAGTGATTGCAATAATGCAATCCATGGAACTAGAAAATAAAATGTGAGGATTTCATGTGTGTCCCAAGCAGGTGGCATCGCTCCCCTTCCCTCGGACATCGCAGGCTGTAATTGGTTGGCGCTCAGCCCACTCTCACCTCCAGCTGGACAAGTTCAATGTGATGCATTATGGGAGACGGAGTTTTCTCAAAGACCTGGGCTGGCCGTTGGACTCATGCTGACAAAAACAGTGTTATGTTTCATTTCTACCTCATTTTGGCAATCCACAGAAGTGCGGATGGTGCTTGGGTTCTGCCTTTGTGTGTCACATAGGAAGTCAAAGAATAAAAGGACAAATGTATTGCAAAATGTGTGTTCAATTAAGCCCCGAAGCATTTGTTTTAGAATGTTAAATTGCTGCACGTAGAAAATACATGAAGAAATCCACTCTTGATGTTTGCAATCCGATCTTTTGTTTGACAGGAAAATTGCATCCACATCTAAGATTTAGAAAATTGTCAAAACAGTGTGAAGAGGTCATATACAGTTGCAGATAATATGCATGAATCACTCTGATAAGACCTCTGTAAATGACAAGGAAAACCTAACATGGTCATGTGAAGACAGGGTTATTATTAGTAGTAGTTGTTCCCTCTCTGCAGTCCTGCCATGTCCCGGCCTGCTTCAAATCCTCCATCATTGTCCCCGTCCCAAAGAAGCCCAGGATCACAGGACTCAATGACTACAGACCGGTAAGGCAAGGCTAAGCAAGGCAAGTTTATTTGTATAGCACAATTCATACACAAGGCAACTCAAAGTGCTGAACAAGATAGCATTAAAATCATAAATAATCACAGAACATTAAAAAGAAAGATAGAAATATAAAATCCCTCAGTTGTATGCACAGCTAAACAGCACCGTTTTTAACCTGGTTTTAAACATTGTCAGAGAGGAGGCCTGTCTCACATCTTCAGGAAGATTGTTCCAGATTTTAGCAGCATGAATCTGAAAAGCAGCCTCCTCATGTTTAGTTCTGACTCTGGGCACTAACAGGAGTCCAGTCCCTGTGCTCCTCAGAGTCCGGGCTGGTTCGTATGGTACTAACATGCAGTGATGGGCAAGCTACTTCATTTGTGTAGTGAGCTAAGCTACAAGCTACTCTACAATAAATTCAGCTTCACTACACAGAAGCTACCACCCATACAAATGTAGCAAGCTTAGTTACAAAATTCTGTCAAAAGTAGCTTGCTATATAGAAGCTATTTTCAATTAAACAAACTGCAGTTCATGCAATTTTATATTTTCCTGCATTAACATGTTTGCTCATTTCTTATTTTTTGCACAATTCTTGAGTGTTCTATCCATGCCAAATGTGACATGTAAATTTTTCCTGTGTGAGATTAATAAAGCTTATCTTCTTATTTGAGATAAACTGTCAGTCAGATAAAGGTTAAATTTTTTTAGATATTTATTGAACAATAGCCCAAAACACCAAAAACAACAAAGAGTAGGCATCTGAAAACATTTCTTTTCGTTCATCTCGACTAGAGTGACGTACTTTTGGAGGTATGGCCACGGTACAACACTTTGAGAGTCCTTATCATGGTCCTCCTCCACCGCGGCGGCTCCTGGGCTCTCTGCCATGCTTTTGCTTCCCCCAGTAGCGCGCATGTGTGTGCGTGTGTGTGCGCGTACGTTCGTGTGTGTGTGTCGTTATCAAGCCCTGCGCATGCGCATCAGCATTCTGTCTTTCTATATGTTTGTTTTATGCTGCGGGAAAATGCTGTAATATATGAACATCAGAGATGTCCGTGAGAAAATAGCTTTGGCGGACGCTACCGCGCTACTTGAGCAATAATATAGCTTAGCTACAGAAAAGTTACTAGGTTTTGTAAATAGTGACGCTACTGTCAAGCTACTGAAAAATGTAGTTAAGCTAGTAGCGACGCTACTTGTAGCGACGCTACTGCCCATCACTGCTAACATGTCACTACTGTAGCACTTACGTCTGTCGTCATGAAGTCATTTGAACGCCTGGTCCTCTCCCATCTCAAAGTCCGTCACCTCCCCCCTCCTGGACCCCCTGCAGTTCGCCTACAGAGCCAACAGATCTGTAGACGACGCTATCAACCTGGCCCTCTACCACATCCTACACCACCTGGACTCCCCGGGGACCTACGCCAGGGTCCTGTTCGTGGACTTCAGCTCTGCCTTCAACACAATCCTGCCATCCCTGCTCCAGGACAAGCTCTCCCAGCTCAACGTGCCCGATTCCACCTGCAGGTGGATCACTGACTTCCTGACAGACACGAAGCAGCGAGTGCGTCTGGGGAAGAATGTCTCGGACTCTCGGATTATAAATACAGGAGCCTCACAGGGCTGTGTTCTTTCTCCCCTGCTCTTCTCCCTGTACACCAACCACTGCCCCTCCAGCCACGACTCCGTGAAGCTGCTCAAGTTCGCGGATGACACCACCCTCATTGGACTTATCTCCAACAACAATGAGTCCGCCTACAGGAGGGAGGTGGACCGGCTGGTGTCCTGGTGCAGTGGTAACAACCTGGAGCTGAACGCACAGAAGACAGTGCAGATGATTGTGGACTTCAGGAAGAGCACTGTACCCCCGCCCCCACCCTCCCTGATGGACTCCATCACCTCTGTGGAGTCCTTCCGTTTCCTGGGCACCACAATAACCCAGGACCTCAAGTGGGAGCCGACCATCAGCTCCCTCATCAAGAAGGCCCAGCAGAGGATGTACTTCCTGCGGCAGCTCAGGAAAGCCAAGCTGCCTGCACAGATGTTGGTGCAGTTTTACACGGCCATCATCGAGTCCATCCTCACCGTGTGGTTCGCTGGAGCCACAGTCAGGGACAAACAGAGACTACAGCGCTCTGCAGAGGAAGTGATCCGCCGCAGCCTTCCATTGCTGCAGGACCTGTACGTCGCCCGAGCTCGAGGCCGGGCTGGTCGTATCACAGCCGACCCCTCTCACCCTGCACATGGACTATTCCAACCACTCCCCTCAGGCAGGAGACTGCGGTCCATCAGGACTAGAACCTCCCGCCACAAGAACAGTTTCTTCCCCTCTGCTGTTGGACTCTTGAACACTTCTTAACCTGTCCCCCCGCCCTTTATAAAGTCACTTTACTGCCCATCATACGTCACTTTACTTCTGTAACTGTACTGTACTGCTGTCACCTTACATTGTGTGCACCATGTGCACTATATTTACTATATTGTAAATAGTAACTGTAACTCTATTTTAAATTTAAATGTTTTCCTTAAAAGTGTTTTTTATTCTTGATTTTTATTATCTCTTTCTGACCAAAGCACTGAGCCAAAGCAATTTCCAAGTCTGTGACTTCCTGTTACTTACGTGGCAATAAAATATAATGATTCTGATTATTCTGATTCTTTCATCTGTTTGCTCAAGATGCAGTGCCTCTTTTAACCTCCAGATAGTGCAGAAGGATTCATCATATTTACACTTCATTATCTGAACAGGAAGAACACGGGTTGAGTGCAAAAACAAATGGAGGAAATAAAATAAAGATGTAGCAACAACTGTCATTCTGAGCAAACAACCCCTGGGAGCAGGGAATTCCAGCACCAAAACAAGCAGCTATGATTTGAAGCAACAATTCAGGCAAAATGTTATACTTGTGTTTAATTTCACTTTATCTTCTATTAAATAATTGTATGAGTGACTTCAGATACTCAATATCTAAAATCACTCAAAACTATCTATTAGGTTGAGTACAAATAAAGAGAAGGTAAATGTTAATCTGCCTCAGTCTCTTCATAAAATTACTTGTGTGCTGATAGTCATTCTAATGGCGTTGCTGGTAATGTCTTGTTATTGTCATTTGAAACTTCACCACACATGCTTCACCTGTGCTCATAACAGCTTTGATTAACGTGTTTGTAAGACAGGACACACCTCACATTCTAACAGAATTGCACAGCAGAGTGAATAGCAAGAGTAGGCCTTGACTGTAATTGGAGAAGCTGCAGTAAGTTATTAGAAAATATGCTTCAAGTCATAACTCAATTTTTAATCAACTTATTTAATATGGACATAGCAAACCAGATACATAAATACACTATCTATATAACAGCATCTGCACAGCTCTAACTTCAGTGGTTGAGATGTCAGACATTGTTCTTTGTCCAATTGAAACTTGTAGTTTTAAAAAGTGCAAATATGTTTTGTATGCGGAGCACCTTGTTTAGAGCTTTCTTTACATTGGCTGGGATATTGTCGAACCACACAATCATAGAACTAAGAAGCAGACTTTCTATGGCGCAATGATACAAGTTAAGCATGGTGAATTCTCTCCATTAACACTTTTGCATAGCCCAAATTCACAACAGAAGTCATCTCAGAGGCTGTAGAATTTGGACTGAAGGTGTAGATCCAGGACTATCGCTGTAGAGTATGAGTCACAGGCCAGGTCCAGACCCCATAATCAAGCCATGAAACAGACAATGGGACAGCAGGTGAATAGCAATGAAAAGACTACAAGAAAACAGCATTTTTTAGTTCAGCATGAATTAAAACACCTCAGATTGATCCAAAGCTTTATTACTACGTCCTGTGTTACAACTGTATTTCCTAATCCCAAACAACATTCATTTGTGTTTGCACTGTGTTGTGGACTCATATGGACCCAGTATGACTTTGAGAAATACACAATATTACAATCCATACAAGTTAGTATTGAACAGCTTAGGCTTTGATAGTCTAATACAGATTCATATGAATAATATGGTTGCAAGGCAGGTTTGACAAGCATTCAGGGAATAAAACACATTACAGGAAATGTCATCAATGGACACGCCTCAAACAGATGTATAAAGATATGAAAAACACCAGAGATGAGCAGTCTCAAGCAACTGCTTACAGACAAGCAGATTTATTATGGCCTTTCAACTTGAGGAAGAGTTGACTTGTCCAGTGTGCCAGGATATCTTCAAAGACCCTGTAGTGCTGACATGCAGCCACAGCTTCTGCAAAGACTGTCTGAGGACCTGGTGGATAGAGAAACCCACGCAAGAATGCCCTGTCTGCAAAAGATCATCCAAGAGCAGCCCACCGCTGAACCGCTCTCTGAAGAACCTGTGTGAGGCCTATCTACAACAAGAAAAGCAGAGTCATGTGTGTCCTCTGCACAAGGAGACATTCAAACTGTTCTGTCTGACTGACCAGCAGCCCGTCTGCGTGGTGTGTCGAGACTCCAGAGCTCACAAGAAGCACCAGGTCAGACCTATCGATGAAGCAACTAAACAATGCAAAGAAGAGCTTCAAAAGGCTCTCAACCCTTTGAAAGACCGAATGGAGCTTGTGGAACGATTTAAAAAACATTGTGAGCTATCTCTGGCTCACATTAAAAGCCAGTCATACCACGCAACCAATCTGATCGACAAGACGTTTCTAAGGCTGCACAACTTTCTCTCAGAGCAACAGGAGCTGCGCTTGAACGCTTTGAAGGAAGAAGAGGAGTGCAAGACACAGAAGATGATGGACAAGATATCAGCTATGGACGCTGAGATAGAATGTCTCTCAGAAACCATCAGAGTAGCAGAAGAGCAGCTGAAGGCTGCAGATGTCTCCTTCTTGCTTGAATACAAGGCTGCTGTGAACACATTGGCGCAATACCCACAACGAGAGGAACCAAATATGGGAACAGGAACTTTGCTAGACCAAGCTAAACATCTGGGAAATCTGGTTTTCAACATATGGAGCAGCATGAAGACACTGGTACAGTTTTCTCCAGTCATATTAGATCCCAACACAGCCCATCAGGAGCTCGTCCTGTCTGATGATCTGACCAGTTTTACCCTCGAGGAAGAGCAGAAGCTTCCCCTTAACCCCGAGAGAGTACCGATAGGTATGCCACCATTGGTTCGAGGCTCCGTAGGCTTAGACTCTGGCTCATATAGTTGGGTTGTGGATGTTGGTGACAACGACGACTGGGAACTTGGTGTGGCGACGCTGTCTGCCCTTTGCATCCAACCAGATGATGAGTATGTTGCTGATGATGCAGGATATTGGTCTGTTGAATTCTCTGACAACAAATATGTTGCTATTAATATAGACAAGAAAAAGGACAATGTTCTCAAATTGAAGTCAAACCCTCGAAGAATCACACTCCATCTTGAATGTAAGAAACGCAAACTGACCTTTTACGATGCGGACACCAACGCCCGCATTCACTGCTTCACCCAGCTGTACCAGCAGAAGCTGTATCCCATCTTCGGTGCTGACACATCCATGCATATTCTGGCTCAGAAAATATAAGTGCAGGTCTTACACACAGGTTGCATTCACAACAACAAATTACACACAATACAAGATTATTATACATCAATACATGTGAAATTACCTGCAACGTAGATGTTGCTTAAAGGGGACATAACATGCAAACATGTCTGTTTTTGACCATGTTTTTCATTGTTGTTTAATCACATTTATCTTTTGCATGATGCATGCATCTTTGAGTTATTTATATTTTGGATATTTTATAACACTTTGAAGCAACTGTGGCTGAATTCATCATTATAACACATGCTGGAGTTGGTACTTTCCACTTGAATGTTTTGTTATCTGAAAACCAAGCTACTGGCACCGTGGCAGGTACTGTCTATCCTATTATATCACATGCATTCTGTAAAATATTTGTTTGTGTTTCGTCTCTTCATCAATTAAACATGTCTTCTGTCTGGCCGACATGTTCCCAGACTTGTCATTTTCGTCAATATCTTAATATACACAGTAGCGTTACCCACCTAGTGTAGTGGTGCAGTGTCAGTTTCAAACACCTGAGGTGCTCTGTCCATACTGTAAAGGGGATTAGATCAAACCATGTGTTCATGTTATATACAATGGTTGTGTTTCGCTCAGTGCAAAGTTTTGTCAATTCTCCTCTCCTGCAACGCTGCATTCTCACAGCAGCTGCATGGGCAGAGGAGGAACACACATGCAAGGATGTGCCAAAGCCTTTTTGATGTCACATTATGTGAGTTGCCATTCATACTGCTAGCCGGGCCATTTTTATTGCATAGTATTTGTTAGTTAGACACTTGACCTCTTCTTGCATATTTATTTAGTCACAGGTGATTTCATTGATCCATCGAGTCTGTCCAAACATGTTCAAGGTGAGTGGATAGCACTCTCGCTTCTCAGCAAGAAGGTCCTGGTTCGAATCCCGGTCGGACCAGGGCCTTTCTGAGTGGAGTTTGCATGTTCTCCCCGTGTCTGCGTAGGTTTCCTCCGGGTACTCCGGTTTCCCCTACCACTAAAAATATGTCCAATAGTTCTGGCATGCGGCTCCTGTACTGGCGACCCCGCTCCCATCTCTGTGTGGAGTGAAAGACAATTGCCCAAAATTAACAATTGTAAACCGCTTTGAGACTCAGATCTGCAGTGAAAAGGCGGTATATAAATAAAGATTACTACTACTACTACTACTTACAAGGTATGTGGGGGAAGTGGACGTCTCCTTGGCGACGGTAAACTGTGGTGTTACTGAGACATACTGCAGGTGAAACATTATATACACACACACACACACAGGAGATGGAGGCGCAGAGGGCTCCTGCTGCGGTCAACTACGTTCACCAGGACGAGATCTGGTAAAGATTACTTCTTCATGTGCTTATGAAAGGATCTTCTCACTTTGACTTTATTTTGTGAGGGTTTACACCAATCAAGAAGCAGTTTGTGAAGAACAGTTGGAAAATATGTTTAAATGAATAAATTAGTGTAGGGAAAGGAGCAGCTGTGTTTTCAAATTGGAATGGACAAGACCAGATGCCTGTAACCTAAAAAAATTAATAATAAATATTTTGAAGCGGACCGATAGAAATAAATCAATGGAATGCATTCATCCATCCTCCCTCCTGCTTTTCGTCAGTGCACGCACCTGTCTGAGTTATATTGAGTCGGATTTTTTAAAACACCTATGTCACGTTTGCCACTTTCCCTGTTTTTTCAAAGAGAACATTAGAGGAAAAGGCGTTGTATAAGAAGACCGTGGACTCAGCCAGGGCTATGTAAAGCAGGCAGTCGAGTTTTGCTAATTCTTATTTTTTTAGGGGAAGCTAGCGCTTGTCAAGTATGGAAGGCAAATCACACACAGCCCTATTGTGTTATGCTTTTACATATCAAGCTGGGAGGCTTCTTCACAGACTGCGTTATTACAGAAACTGCGTTCATGTGTGCTGGAAGTTGGGTTTGGCCAATGTTTTTGATTCGGATGCTACTGCTAAGCTGACGAAATCCTTTACTGCACCTTTAACTGGCACAGAGTTGGGACCCACCGTCAACATAAGATAGTAAGCCGCAGCTTCATTTTTTAAACAAACAATATAAAATACTGTTACGGTATCTCTCTGTTGGCCATTAAAGGCTAGTGATCTGCCAAAGATCCCACGTCCCAGCAGTTGAAAAGCACTGGACTGAAAAGAAAAATCATTTAAAGGGAGAAAATGTAAAAAAATAAATAAACATTTAGAAAAACAAGGAAATAAAGTATTAGAAAAAGAGAAAAAAATTGGGGACTACATTATACACACATGCACAGAGGCAGACAGCGAGGGTCAGCATACACATGTACATTTTCTTCTACCTTCTATGTATGTGAATCTGTTGGGGCCATGGCAGATGATGAGGGGAGCTGCTGTATGTTTTCCTTGGTATAAAACCATGTGAATGCTGTGAAAACTGGTTCGGTCGTTTATGCAGAGTACCAACAATAAAACATCTTCTGCATCTTTTGTCATTTTCTTCATACCCCAACTTTGTACTGAAGACTTCAAATTATTACTTAAGCATGTCCCCTGGATGTTCCGAAGTATGTGTATAACATGAAACTCAAGCTTAAATATGTTTGCAGGAAGGCCCATGTAAAGTTGGAGAAGGACTCTGCAGACGTTTGGCCGAGAAAATGGGGCTTCCTGACTGAGGTGTACAAAGACGTGAGGATTTGAAACACACATTACGCTGATTTATTCTCTCTACTAAATACAACTACAACTATTTGCTGTCTTCAGTACCAGAGGGAAAGTTTGAAGGAGGCACAAAGTGGAAAACAGCAACAAGGTGATTTTATTGTCTATTTACTAGGAAAAGTTATGCTTTCAAAACCATGCAGTCATTGACTTTTTAGTCCACTTGACTAACTTTAGTCAAGTGGACTAAAGTAAGACATGTGTGTGTGTATACTTATGTAATTTTAAAATGTGAAGTAAGAAGTAACCAAAAGACCTAAATCTGGTCACATGTTTCAAATATTGGAATGGTGTGGAAGTATTTATTATGCATATAATAGGACTGTCTACATTATAAGAACATTTATACCCACAATCCATGGGGACATTTCAGTGTCATCGTTGTGCCGTTACAGGACAGTAGGAATAAAATGAGCACTCAAACAAAAATAAATTTTATCTTTAGCACTTTTTGTACCGTCCTAATTCACAACATCAGAAAATTTACAACATTTCAAGCATTTCAAACACATAAGTTTATTCAGAGGGAAGACTTGATGAACTTTTCATAAGTGATAGCAAAAACGCTAACATAGGTTTATGGAACAAGAAAATAATATGGCTGATTTCCACGTGTCCATACAATGTGAGGATACATATATGTGTGTAAATGGTTACTTACATATGTATCTATGTAACCATTTGTAAATACCATGTAAATATAAAGGGCACATGCAAAATACATCCTCACATGCTGATTTTAATGCACCTCATAATACTCTCATTCCAAACGGAAGACTTGGTTACAAATAAATTAGTCCCTTCTGCAACTCCACCCTGGTTTAATTTTAGACATGGCAACCACCTTGTTGACTTCCTTGTCTTTGACACTTTTTTTTCTCATTTCCTGAACACAAGTAAACTTGAATGTCCTCTCTTTCCTGAAACTTTTGTTTCTTTGTTGCTTGCATTTCATTATGTTTGTCTTTTCCTGTTTTGTTTATTAAAATGTTAATAAATAATTTCATGTGTGTCCCATGCAGGTGGTATCGCACCCCTTCCATCGGACATCGCAGGCTGTGATTGGTTGGCGCTCGGCCCACTCTCACCTCCAGTTAGACAAGTTCAACGCGAGGCATCATGGGAGAGGGAGTTTTCTCAAAGACCTTGGCTGGCTGTTGGATTCATGCTGACTAGAGCAGTATTATCATTTCTACCTAATTTTGGAAATCCACGTATGTGCAGATGGCCCTTGTGGGTCACATGGAAAGTCAAAGAATAAAAATACATGTATTAAAAAATGTGTTCAAAATAGCCCCGAAGCATTTGTTTTAAAATGTTAAAATATGGCACATAGAAAATCCACCCTCATCATGTTGCATGGAACCTGTTGTCCTCCTTTCTGATCAGAGTGAGAAAATACATTTTCAAAAAAGTTAAAGCTACATCTTTTCACACATGAACATTAAATCAGTGTGTGGAGGTATAAACATATAAGTGTGTGACGGCCCCCTCTGCTGGTCCTGTGGTGGCAGGATATGAACTGTATTCAACTGAGGAGAGACGAGAGGAGGCGGCCGGGAGGTCAAGTGAGGCTCCCAGATGCTTCAAAAAGCACCTTCCTCTCACTCTCTCACCTGGATCTCACCTGGCTTCTGGGCCCCTGCCGGCGTGCCCGGACTGCCGCTACCAGCTTGGGTCCTGCCTCACCAGTCTGTTTTTGTTCATTCACACGCACTACAACTCAACATTTGCACTACACAAGGTTGTCTTACTGACTTTCATACGCAGCACCCTGAACCCCCATAGTTTACTGTCACTGATTACATGCAGATTACTTTATTTTTGTCACAATAAATGCCCCATCGAGGGCTCTGGTTTTTGTGTCCTCCCCCTTTTGTTGCGGTTCCACAAGCCCGGCCGTAACAAATGGGGGCTCGTCCGGGATTTAAACCCGGGACCTCTCGCAGTGACAAAGTGTGTAAGAGTGAGTCTATGGGTGTCTATATTGTTAAAACTAAAAATGATATATACTTTATACTTGAGTTGGACTGAAGCCACTGGAGAACAAAACGGTTTAATTGATTTTTCTTTTCTAAACTGTAAACAATTTATTTCCTATGCCAATGCTTTAAGATACATACTGCATCTCAGTGACCAATGGGGATCTTAATAAATAAAAATAAACTAAACTAATCAGATCTTTTGAGAGGAAATTTGTAGAATTTAAAACCATAATATAAAAGCAATTCTATAGCCTTTTTTGGACACTCAGAACATGTTTTACCTAAACAACTGTCATTCTGAGCAAACAACCCCCGGAATTCCAAACTTTTTAGGCCACCCTCAAAATAAGCATCAAACCAGGCGAAATGTTTGAATTGCGTTTCATTTCCCTGTATCAAGCACATCTCGAACTTATCTTGCAACCACGAGTGTTCTGCCTTGCAAACTTGGCAAACCATTGCCACCGATTACTCAGGCGCACACCAGTTATACTTGAGAGTACGGCCGAGAGTTCAAACAGACAGTATAGTAAACAATGTAAATTTTTTCAAATCCAGAATGATCCATTTATAGTTGTCACACAGCCGCTACTAGAAAATTGTACAATATAACAAAGTCCAGACAGTTTTGTAAATGTTTGGATTCTTGGAACAAAATACACTCAGCAAACTTAACCATTATAGCAGGGATGTTAGACATGTCCAGTTCTGATATTTGACAGAGCTGAAGTTGGCTGAATGACATGTTTGTGCCATAATCATGACCATGTCAATAGAGTAAAAACAAAGAGCAGACTGGATTCAAGAGGTTCTAAGTGAGGTACACGCTTTGAACATCTATATTGGAGCTGAAGTTGGCGGGATGACAAACAGGGCACTAAGGGCTGCAATTAGATTTGGACACACCAGTATTTCTGTTTAGTTTCAAAGTTCAGGACGCAAGGCTTTTTAATGTGTTTATTAAATATATACATAACAAAGTGAGGGGAGGGAGGACTAACATTTAGCAGAATCGAATAAAAGCTCTTAGAAACTTTTCAAACAATATTTGCTGTGCCATTTAAGATTACTCTAAAATTGCCCAAAGTTTACTCAAAGGCAGTCTTTAAAACAGAAAACCGCAAAAATGGTCACAATATTTTTATTTTTCCCCAAACAGTGACAACAAAGACCCCAGAACACCCAAATACAGGCCCATATATGAGAGTTTAAATGAGTGTACACTACTGGAAAAACACTTTAAGGGGGAAATTGTGTCAGTGATGTTATGTTGTGGGGTCTTTGGACACACTGGTAAAATAATGTCTTAATTTGAAGGAGCATGGTTTTATTTTGGAGGTCTGTAGGCGATCTTCCTGCTCTTGAGGACGGACCATCTGTGGCGCTTCATGTAGTAAAGTAGAGGGACGAGGATGACTCCGCCCATCAGCAGCTGAAATAACAAGATTAAAAAGGTTACTCATCTATACTGTTTGCATTAGGTGAAATGTAGAAAAAAAGTCCTAATTCACCGATCATCAGGATTCAAGCAACTTATGTATCAATTGAAAGAATATTTTGCAATTGTTTTCAAACTAGTAGTAGCCCTAATGCGTTGTGCAGTGGAGGGATGGTGAACTGTTATTGCTGAAGTACCAGTCACTTAGTCCTCAGAGCATAAATACATGCAGTCTGTTGGCGTGAAGATCTTCCTTAGGATTCTCTGTAGATCCTTCAGTGCTTAAAAATTGTGTTATGGGTGGTGAGTTTTTATTCAACATGGAAGGAGAATAACTCCTTTTTTCCATATTGACTTGTCAAGGAATATGGAAAACGTTCCTTTTGCTTTACTCTCAAACGGTGGGGACAATCCTGTCATCGACAGACCACTATGGTATTGCACAGTCAGTGAATGAAGGCCGTTTTCAACTAAGAGGGGAGTGTATGCAAGGTTCCATTCTCCACAATTGTTAAAGAGCTGGTGTGTGAGCGAGAGCTCTATACCTTCAGCCCCATACGTTTGCGCTGGTCATGCTCCGGCTCAGCGGCCCACCTCAGAAACGTACACACGTCTTTGGCCACCTGACTCATGGTGGCTGGGGTCCCTACAGCAGACCACAAGGTATAAGATTAGTACACGGCATCCTTTATAATAGAATAGGCATGGAAAGATTATTTGTTTAACACCAAGCAATTCTAAGTGCTGAACAAAATAAGGAGACAGTCAAACAAGGCTTTAACATTGTTAAAAAAAAAAACAAAGAAAAGTACAGATAAAATCCCGAAGTTGTATGCACAGCTAAACAGAACAGTTTTAACTCATTGAATGCCAGCCTATTTCAGAACAGGTACTCCCACAGTGCCAGCCATTTATGATGATTTTTACTGATTTTTCAAGACCCACAGAATATTGTGTACTATGACTATCTGAAATCCGACACCAGATTCTAAAAGAATGGACTGTCTACTTTCCTCAGCAAAAAGAATTTTGTTTATAGCTTTTTTCGTTCCCCTGTAATCCTCCGTTGAGTAGAGGGAAGTTTTACTGAAATCACCAGAAATCACCAGAAAGTTGAGAAAAAAGAGGCACAACATGTGCACCTACATGTTTTCAAACCATTCAGAGAGAAATGCTGCCACCTGCTGGCTCGATAAAATATGGTCTCAAGTCATCCCCATACATATTAGATACAATAGACATCTGGGAACGTGAAAATAGCAAAAAAGGCATTTGACGGATTAATGCGTCAATGGCACACGACGTTACTATTTGCTTTGACGTATTTGTGCGTCAATGGGACACAATGAGTTAACCAGGATTTGAACATTGTCAGTGAAGAAGCCCGTCTCACATTTTAGCAGCGTGAATCTGAAATGCTGACATGTGTCCTGTTGAAGGGGTCTTTCAAATCTTGTTCACCCATGAGAGTTGCAGCACTGAAATAAATGTTCCATCAACCTAGCATAATTCTTCCCAATATGAAAGTTTTCCTCATTCACTTTACAATTGTACTTTGATCCTATATCTTTTTGAAAGCAATCCAATATATTTCAAAACTTGTGTACAACACAGTTGTTTACTTGTGCTCTACAAATAAAGATTGTACACGTTCAAAAAGGATAAAAGTAAACTAATGCAATCAGTTTGAAAATAGGGGCACCGAGACAGACACACACTTAATTGTTACCCTTCTGAAATGTGTTACATTGAATCAGGTGTGAACATGTTTTTAATTCTTCTGTTAAAATTGATCCAAATGTTAACTTTGAACTAAAATGTCAAATAAGGCCGCACATCCCTGTAATCTGAGCTGGCGTGCTGGATTAAAAAATGCAAGACGTAGAAAACAGTGAAAAATAATCCGCACAGCTATGTGCGGATTAACGTTTCGGGTTGAGGCCCGTTTAACGTTTCGGGTTGAGGCCCTTCGTCAGACTAGTCTGACGAAGGGCCTCAACCCGAAACGTTACCTTTTTGTGTGGTATGTAAATAAATTACACTGTTTTTGGGAGCTACATAACTTTGAACTAAAACACATTGATTTTCAGTAGTTACTAGCATAAACGCTTTTTCTTGAATTGTGAGCATGTCTATCATGGAATGCATTTTGTTCATTAGGTGCAGCGTGCTTACAGATGCCCTAAACATTACTGAGCAGTTTTTAAGTTTATGTCTATAGTTTAATTTAATTTATCCAAATCTAAATAGTAGATTCTGATTCAGATCCTGGGCGACAGTGGCTCAGTTGGAGGAGCATCAGACTTTGGGGTAAAAGGTCTCCCACTGATATCTTCTGTCGTTGTGTCCTTGGGCAATACACTTTACCCCACTTTGCCCATAAAGCCTAGTGTATAGTCGCGCAGAGCTTAAGGTGGTGACGTCACTTGCGCAACACGTGGATCACAGCAAGGCCCTTACGTAGCCTGCCGCGCACCCTCAAAAATTTCTAACTACGCAGCCGGCGCTGTAAGGAAGCTCCGCTGTGATTGGTCCGTGTGTTTTGGGCGGAAGCATGAGCGGCTGCAGGGAACATGGACAAGGCACTTCGGAGCAGATTGCTTTGTGCTTCGAAGGAACCGAAAGAAAATCAGTTTGGGCTCATGGCTCAGAGTCTGATAAACCCGGAGACTGTGGACTAAAGTTCTGTTGCATATCTAACTTATATATAACTTACAAACTGTGCAGTCGTTTCATTCCTCCTGCATTTGTAAATAGTTCATGTTTGGTCTCAGATATTTACCACTTATTGTTTTGCTGTTTGTGCTGAAAACAATTGAATAATAACCATGTTTCCAACAAAAACTGTGTCTTTATTCACAGCATCAAAGTTAAATGAGTTGAAACAATGAGTACATAGAACTGTCACATAAAACTACAGTAGATACACATGTCATAATCTCAAATAGCTTCTATTTTGTTTTTGTTCTGAAGAGGAGGAAGTAGCAGCGTAAATGGGACCGTGATCGCCATCACATGGTTGGTTGTGGGATTACCACATTCTCTTCAAAACTCCGTAAGGGGAACGCGCAAGTGTCCCACCAACTGTGGTTATGTTGCAGCGCAACCGCAAACATAACCAGCACCGCGCAAGTGTACACAGGCCTTTAGGAGCGTGGGAGTAATTCTACGCTGCATGCCTTGATGTGTATTCAACAAACTGAAATTTCCCCACTGTGGAACGAATAAGGGATTATGTTCTTTTTGCAATTAATGAAAAAAGGCTCACCGTCGTCATACTCCAGGATCTCGTTGTAGATGGGTGGGGCCATGCCGATAGCCTGTCCCGGGAAGTAGGGGTTATAGTAAAGCCCTTCCCTCACAGAGACCCCTGCTGGGGGCTCGCAGTAGCCTGTCAACAAGCTGAACACGTAGTCCTCTCCTCCATGCCTGATGAGCAGAAGGACAAAGGCAGGTTAATATGGGGCTATGGTTAGAATGTGGTCCAAGCAATGATCTAATGTTTTGTGGCACATTTGTAGCTCTTTGTGTGCAGTGTAGATGTTTGAATGGACACATGAGACAGCAAGTAATCATATTTGACCATGCACAATTTTTTAAATCAAATAGAGCATTCATTGAAAATAGATACATTTGATGATGTAAAGAGCCATAAGAATAGTCCAAACTAACTTATTCCAACCATTTGGCCACGCTCCCTCCAAAATAAATAAATACATAAATTCAAATTTGGACTGAAGTCAATAATTTACAGCCACTTTATTTTGAAGTGCGCAGTATGAAATGCATGATTCATATCTAAGAAATATAATTTAAACATGAATCATACATAAAAACATTTTGCTTTGAAATAAATTTCAGGATGTTGTTATAACTGGGTTTGTTGCATGGGAACGCATTCCTAACTTTCGAGCCGGGAGTGTTGCGCACTTCTACCAATAAGCCCGGGAAAGTGGACATAGAGCCCTATGAGTCATTATTTGACTTTTTTGAGCTGAGAGTAGATTTGTTATTCACACAGTTAATGCCACTTTATTGCCAAATTCTTGTTAACCTATTGTGTTGTTAAATATTTGTTAGTCTCAAATTATTTTTGGTTGTTTTATTATCCTTCCCGTGTGGAAGTTGTACATTTTTTTTGTATTATTCTATTGAAGGCATTCTTATTGAAAGCCACAAGTGTCAGAATTATGTTTCTATCTGCTACAGAGGCCTAGGTATCAGCCATTTAGTAGACGTTGAATTTCAGGAAAATTTCAGGTTTTAGAGAGGTTCTAAAGTCGGTCATAGGTTTAGAGATATGTTTTACCAGGTATATCAGGCCTTAATGGGTTAATAAGTGCTAGGGCAGTAAAGTAATAAGGTAAAAAAGATGCATAAGATGCAGACCGGATCATGCGTTGCAGCGACTTTCAATGCAAAGTCTTCCTGTGCGTCGCAGGGCGCGCACACACGATGCAGGAGCTTCAACTCGACGCAGACAGGAGATGGACATTGCCAAACTTTCTCCAAATAACATTGGCCCAATGACTTTTGACATTTTCATTGAAGAGTTTCCATTCCTTTTAAAGTGAATCAACTCCAGCGATTAAAGTTCTCCCAGACGCAGGCTCAGTTTGGCTCAGTACCTGGCATTGACGATGTAGCTGAGGTCGGGGGGCAGCGCACCGTTATTGGCCACTCGAGCAGACTCTGCGTTGGGGTACGGCTTGGGGAAATAATCGGAAAGTTTCCCTGGGCGGGTGAACATCTCCCCAGACTCGTCGGGCCCGTCCACGACCTCCGCCTGACAGACATGGTACACAACAGGGCAGCAAGTTACACCAAAACCTCAATTTGGAAACAAATTCAAATGAAAAAGAAAGCATTTGTTTAACGTTATGATATTAAATGACCCGGACTTTGTAAATGCCATGTAGTGTGAAGACGTTTAATTAAGAGGTGTAATTCATTATTTTGACATGTTAGACATTGGGATTGATAGTACTTTGCAGAATTCAATTAAAATGTGTTAACAGTCATAGAATTATCTGAGTCATAGTATTATCCGTATTATTATAGAAGTAGCAAGGCAAGACTACATTTTTTAAATTACCAAATCAGATTTAATTTAGCACAGTATTTTCCAGCTGAGCAAGAGGAATAAAACAGTTTTTGAATTATAAAAATCGGATAAGTGGTTGTGATTTTATTACCATATTGATAAGTGCTTATAGTGAAATTAATTTGACTTAAAACAAAGGGGATACTGTGGAACCTTCAATTCAGCCATTTCAAGCCTTTATTCATCTTCTAAGTGCTGTAACTTCCCTATTTTACTAACTATCAACATTAAAATTCACAGTAAAGAAGGAAACAATTCAGGGATGTTGAATTCGATGTTTTACAATTTGGCCGACCCCAATATGGCCGCCAACAAGAAATCCGGAAAACATTTTTTTCAAACCACATATGTAATATATCAAAATTAAGGTAATTGATGGAGCAATCTAAATATGATGCTTAGAAATGTTTTTGGCTTTATGCACACACACACGTTATTTATGAGACTAAAGTTGCAGACCTCAACTTTAAACATGTGTTATTTACGAGACTAAAGTTACAGACCCCAGCTTTGAACATGTTACTATGAGAAAAAAAGTTGGACCTCAGCGTGATGTGAGATGAGTGCTGCGGTTTTTCAACTTAATTCACTGATCCGCGCGTCAAAACAACCGTGACATGATTCAAATAAACCATAATTCTAAAGCTTATAATATTAGATGTATGTGTGTGGTGTTGGTTTTCCAAAATCCTGGCTACTTACCGTGTATTTTGCTATTAAGTTAGTCGGATCATATCTCCATAACCGCAACAGCTGGAGAGATGCCGCTTTCACCGTAATGCGCTATAATAAGTGATCTGTTTACCCGGTAAATATCACCTCGCGGCGACGTCATTAACCCGCGCGGAATTCCAGGGATATCTCGACTCATTTTTTTTTCCGAGTCCAGACTATCTGTGGCCCACTCTGCCTCATATTTCGTCAACTTTATCAATTCATATCTCAGGAAATAAACGGAATATCAGAAAATGCACACATTTGTGGATTCTATGAACAAAAATCTGTTTATTGATAGTGGTGGTAGCTATATATTCTGATTATTTAGCTGCTCAGAATCATATGAACTAAAGTGAGTAAGACAGCGACCTCTTTCACCACAGCGTTTCCACTGAGTCTTGCATTGCTAGTAGAAGTGGATATAATACTTTTCATTTCTTAGTGCTGGGGTAGTGGTGTAAACATAGCCCTAAAAACAGCACACCTCTGCTTTGAAACAATTTAACATTTTGCATTTATTGCCTTAATTGGCAATAAATGCAAAAAGCTTAAATGCCTTTACTGAGGCATGCAAAAATGGTACCCCCAGAAGACAGTTTGGTTGTCGGAACATACCTCTTCAGCAAAGGCCTTGACCTCCGCCTCTGTGTGTGACACGCCCACCAGGTTTCTGAAGGCCAGGTACTCCATACTGTGACAGGCCGAGCACACCTGTTTGTACACCTGGTACCCCCGCCGCACGCTAAAAACAGACACGAAAGTTCTTTACAGATGTAACTGTACACAAGTCAAACTTCTCTATATCATGGGCCTATCCACATGAAAGATGTTCTACATAGTCTTTGACAGTATGGATCGCCTATGGCCTTATCCTTTTCCTTTATATTGAAAAATGGTAAACGGTCACATTTATGTAGCACTTTTCATTGCACTCAAAATGCTTGAAGCTTCACATCAAGGAACCAATCACCCATTTATACAAACCAGTCAACAAAGACTGGTGGGACGGGTCTTGCCAAGAGATGCACAATTAATGTGGCCAGATATGGTCATTCTGGTGTCAATAAAGGCCCGATGTGAACAGGCCGATAATTATTCCAGTGTTTTTGATGTGGGCATTCGCAGTTACACTGCACCTCTTGCAGTTCTGTAGAGTATCATCTCCCAAGCCATAGTCAGGACCATGTAATACATGAAACTGACGACCAGTGTATATTATATCAGTTTGCTAATGTACTGTGCAACTTTACTCGACACCACATTTATAGATACAGCCCACAGCCCATAACCCAATTACACCACTTTGGGATGCTGGTGCAATGGGGTGGGCTAGTGAGGTTAGCAGTAACAATAATGGGCCACATTGCTAGATGCTAGTTTACAGGGTTGGAGGCTGTTGTGGACAATTGTTCTGTGGTCAGCGGACAGGAAGTGATGAAACATGTGGACTGATGTTTTGGTTTGCTGAAGCACCATAGATTGTAAGCTAGCACAGGTGACATACGCAATGGGCAGGGGCCATGCTTTGCTGTGGTCTGCTTAAGAAATATAATGTAATCCAAAGAGCTTTCATTCCCTAGAGAAAGTTCTTTGGATTAAGAACGCAGTGTTGTGCCACAATGCCAGATAAGTTATTTGGATTGAGAACTTAACGTCGGGAAAACATGCTAACTGAAGTACAGATGATTGGTGAGCAACGTTCCTTAGTTTTGAAAAATCTCTGTACAACAGAGCTTACACAAATTGTGGTAGAAATTTTGCATTTAATATTGGTATTGTAAATTTCTGCGTTATGAGATCAATACATTTTGTCTGTAATAAGTAGTTATTTGTTAAAAATTGTTCCTGTAAAGTGCTAACAAATCCAATTGTATATTTCTTTATATTTCCAGGTGTTTGAGATATAATTAGAACAGTTTAAATTAATGAAATAAAAAAAAGGACAAACGCAAGTTTGTCCCATTTGGACAGCTAAAAAACGTCCAAAGTCCAAACACAGCAGTTGCTGAGAATGGCAAAATATGTGTTTTAGAAGATAGACATGTTATTGATCTCACAAAGGAGAAATTTCATGTAACATGAATGGACAATTTTTTATTTATTTTTTGACACAAACAGGATAAAAAGGTTAAAAATGTAGTCTGTGCAGGATATCTCATGTGCAATAAAAGTAGCTCTAGCCAGGGCTTGACATTAACGGTTGTCTGCTTGCCCAGGGAAACTAAAGATTTGGGACAGGCAAGTGCGCCGTCTAAACAAGTTGCCCGATCGGGCAAGTGATGTATCACTTTAACCAATTCAGGTCTGGAACGCATTCCCTCATTTCTACCTCTAGAGCCAGGAGCGGACAAGTCTTTCTTTTTTTGAACAATTCTCTTCATTGGAAAATTCTCTGGACTAATGAAATGCATCATGGATTAACCAGAGATGTAATTTGTTCGCGGATGTGCGATTTCCAACTTTGTGTGACCGCGTACACTTGCTGCAATTATCGTAACATACTCAAACGGAATTTACATCCTCCGTTCTGACCCCGGGAGCAACTGCAGCCGCTTTATAACCCCAACCGCTTTGACAAGAGCTCAAAACTCAAAGAGAATTCCTCAAAAAAAGAAAGACTTGTCCACTCCTGGCTATAGAGGTAGAAATGAGGGAATGCGTTCCAGACCTGAGTTGGTTAAAGTGATACATCACTTGCGCTCGTTGGAACATAGACACGTGGACAGAAGCAGAGACGTGCCGACAGAACCATAGATGCACGTACAGAACCATAGTCGCGCGAACAGAACCATCCCCAGTTTGTTGCGAGTGCAGGTCTCACCCGTGTCTCATCAGTGTGTCCCCCACCAAAGCGCAACCGAAACTCACAAAAAAAACAAAGCTCGGGGTACCTAAGTTTTTGCTCTCATTAACAATGCATGTTGGTTGGGCACAAAAGTAAAATGTTGTGGACAAATCAAACATAACACAAAACAGGAGTCTTGTTTTGTTTTTTGTTTTTCTGCTAACTCAAGAGCCCTGTAAGTAATTATTTAATTTGTGGGCTGTGAGTGGATTTTTTTATATTTATTCCACACTTTTAGAGCCACTTTATTGCCAAACTTTTTTTTACTCATTGTATTGATACATATTTTGGGAAATAAACTTTTGACATTGGGCAAGTAAAATATAAATGCTACTTGATAGGCTGACAAAGCTAGGCCTGCTAAATAAATATATTGGACATTACACAATATTAACATCGATTATCATATCAGCCACAATTTTCACATTGGTGCATAACTGATGATCACCCTCTTGCCCAGGGAGGGACCCGCAGCAACAATGGGAGCTGAACCAATGTTATTTTATGTTAAGAGCAAGATCGGACCACCACCTTCAGCTCGGACAACATGCTCTACTAACTGAGCTACTGCAGAATTTATAAGACTGATGCCTGGAAGGGCAATATTCAACCAAACTGACGTGTGCCCACACTTTAACTCAATATGGTGCGTTTGTGAATCCAAATCATCAAAGACATGGGAAAAGTGACATTTTCTATTTCAAAATGTCTTAAAATGTGCATCTTTGTAGTTTGACCAAGTAGGCTGAATACAAAACAATAATTAAAACACATCTCAACATGGGACAATGTACATCACAACGTTTCAAACTAAAGCCTGGTTCATACAAGACAATTTTAATATTGTCAGCCAATTTTCCTAACCTGAGAGACCCCACATACGGAGATAAAAAAATCAAGGGTCTAACCACTTTGGTCGTACAGTGTCACGGCAAAGTCACGCAAACCACACACAAACCGATTTCCCCCCGAGCATTCCCAGGGTAGACGGAAATCTCACGAGATCAAGCGTGAGATCTCAGAGTAAACAATCATGGCGGATGAAGAGGATGCAGTGGCGATAGTTTGCAGTTTGTTTTTAACAGAGAAAAAGTGTTACTCAAAGGAAAAGGCGATGGTCAAAGAAAAGGAGACAATGCGAGCATGGACTATATATATTTATGCCATTGTCTAAAGATTTTTTTTTACTGTGTTTCCTCGCTGCCTCGTCACCTCGTCTTCTGATTGGCTACACGCCGCAGTCACCTGGCAACGCCTGTCCCTGGAGGACACCACACATAAAGAGAAATCGGGCCAAAACAATCCAACATGTTGGATATCCCCGATTTGAGATTGGAGCAGTCCCGAAGTCGTTCCGAGCGATGAGCGCAGTCTTAACACACCACACATGGCAGGAAAACCTTAAGATTGTTGTTGGGGGCAAATCAGATCTTAAATCGGCCTAATTATCCTATAAGGGCGAGGGAGAAGCTGTAGCTCTGCTACCTCAGCGAACACTTTAATAGCAGTAATAGATGTCTTTATTCTCCACAGACATTTTTTGTCCTGTCCAATTTCAACACTAATGTTAACCCTATATGCCCGCGTGCATCGGCACCGATGCACGCGCACATGTTTTACAAATTACCAATTTACTCGTGAACGGTAAAACGTAGCAACTTACTTTTTTTTCCTCTGTGAAGTACACATTCAGGGCTTTCCGAAACTAGTTTTGATTTGTCTGTGCGATGCAAGTCCGTGTCCAAAGCGTGACCCGTGAGGTACAAACAGCTGTGAGATACAAACACACGGGGACTGCCAAAGATCGTCAGAGTGAGATGTCTCACTCCTGTGTCTGTACTTGTTGTCCCACAGTTGAAACTACAGCTGCGATTGCAATAACCGGCTGAAGAGTACGCATTATTGATAAAGCTGATAATAAATACAGTAAAATTACATTATGTGTATATGATGTATATAAATATATGTATTATATAAATAATTGATAGTTTTTTTTTTTTTTGGCTCAGTTTCTTATGTTTTACGTTTTTTACAGCTGTACTACAGAAGCAACCCCAGCATTATAGACAAACTGCTTCAGGAAGGGCATCAGGAGTACAGAGTTTTTTGCTTTTATAGTGGAATTTTGTAAAAAGTATAATAGTTAGAGATTCAATTTTTTTCCCCATTATCCCCAAGACCATAAATAACATTTCTATGCAGTGTAAAAAGTTGTTTATAGCATTTCATTGTGTTTTTTCAATACATTTTTGTTAAATTGATTTTCCGTTTGATTTTTTTCTTTGTCTTCATGATTCCACAATTTGTATATAATTCATATGACAGCTTTACAATATGAATATTCTAAAACCCCAGGTTGTATTGAAAAAAACAAAGTATACTGCTTGACTCTGCATCAAAAGATGACTGTTTTATGAACAATTATACACAAATAAAACCAGGCGAGAAAAGTTCCCCAAAATGAACCATGTGCATAGAGGGTTAAGGCAGACCCAAGAATGTCATTTTGAAATACAGAAAGTAAAGGTTTTTTTGAAAGGCTGATCCCCCCCTCAAAACTGCAGCTCTAAGTGTGATTAGGCATGTAAAAAACTATGAATTTTCATGACCGACCACTGAGCCTCATTAACCTTTGAAATAACAGCCATTTTGAGCCGCGTACTTCTCATAAGTGCAGCTATGCGTTCTAATGGATCAGAGCGGACACAGCGGCGCCAAAAACCGCAACAACTTCGGCACCTTTGCGCACAGAGAACTGATTTTTTAATCTTCCCATTCTTCTGAGTTAAAGCTTTTTAGCAGCAAACGACGGCTCGTTCACATGGTCAGAGCAGCGAGTGACGAGCCGCGTCTCGCAGATCGCCGCTAAAGTTTTAATACAAGTGATGAGTGTGGAGCTGATCTAATGACAAGGACCATCAGCACAAACATGCTCCATGTGATTTGACTGAAGCTGCTTCTTTGCGAGGATCCTTTGGGCTGCGTAACACAGAGGAGCGCGACAGACCGGTATGTGTGTGTGTACAATACATGTATGTATGTGTGTGTGTACAATACATATGTGTGTGTAAATATAAGCTCCAATGTAGTTCTGACCCACACCAGTGTGCAACTAGCAGGCAGTGAGAGGAGTGTGTGTGTGCGCATGCGCGTGTGCTTGCATATGTGGCGCGTGCGGCATGAGAGTCGGCCCAGAGTTTACTAATACATTGGCGCACACAGCTAGATAGGGACCCGCTCGTCACACCGTGCAAATAGGGCTTAAAACAGCGTTATTAAGAGACGTCCCCTCTCCCCTTTTTCTTAACCGACAGCTTTGACCGGTTAACGCTGTGACAGTCAGCCACCGGTTAAACAGTCACTGATTTACATCCCTAAGTGTGATATGACATTACCTGGCGTGGTCGAGGGCTGAAAGGGGTCCGGCATGGCTCCATGGGTACTGTGGCGGGTGCAGCTCTAGGTCTGAGGCTTTGACTGACTGATGCAGAGCCAGAGCCAGCCCTGCTCCTCCTGCTGTGAGCACCCCAACAGTGGTCAAAGCCACCTTCCTGCCCCGCGGGAGAGCTGAAAAGGACATGTTTGCCTGGAAACAACAAAGCTTTACAATTAATTCACACTACAATGTACACAAGACCGAAGTGGACAAACTGTAGGGTTAATCAAATAACCAGTCAATACCATGTCAGCCCATCACAAAAGAGCATATCTAATGTGTGGCTCTTGAACGAGAAAAGCCACGAATTTGAACCTCCGTATTTCCTCACAATTAAACGATTGGTCAATAACATATTTAAATAACGTACAAAAGATGGACAATTCTAAGAAATCTTTTGAATCAGAAGGTCCATAAAAAAGCCGAATCCCATGAATCGAGATGGCAGTTAAAGACATGCAATAACCCAAAAGATACTGAAGCAGAGGTTATTGAACTAAGGTTTATTGTTTTGTTATTAAACTAAGGTGACCGCTGGTTGGGTAACCGGAAGTCATCACAGCCCTTGACGTGCTAACATTTAGCATCCGAGTTAGCTTATGAAACTTCTATCACCGGTACGTTCAGGGCAAATGGAATGTACTTCATGTCAACATGATCAAACGAACTAGTATCAAGTAACCAATCCTCAACTTATCCCAGCGTTCAAGTCACTAAAGTACATTGAAATTGGACACATTAAAGAGATGGGATTGCCGGGTGGCAGACTAGTTAGCTCACATGTTAGCAAGCTACAAAACAAGTTATGCTAACGAATTTATTCATTAGCACAGCGTTGATAACATTATTGAGATACTATAACAGCCTGTACCTGGCCACAAAACAATTCAACTAGTACACAAAGGGTACAACACATCGCGATACCTTTAAAGTCTGCCGCATGTGAGTGACCTTGCCTTACGCCATCCGGAGCTAAGCGGCTAAAACATTAAATCTCGCCAGTTTACGCACTATCCGTTAAACATTGAGAGACAATGCTCCCCAGGGCCAGTTTCAGAAGTCTCCACAACATGATCGCCATACCGTGGGTGTCTTGATCGTCTTCACAGTGCTCAGGAGTGTTCTCCCGCTGCCCGAGGCTCGTAGCGCTGCCATAGTCTCCGCAGAGATCACTTCCGTCCTGGAGATTTGCAAATAAAAGCTTCAAGGAACGCCAAAGGAGGGGTTATGAACATATCCAATTTCATTAGTCTATAGTTTTATAGTAGATGTACATATGGATAATACTATCAATGTAACTTTTAAGATGGTGATATTATTGTTGACACTACACCGCAGTGTAATCCGCAAACGTCTGCACTGTGGAAACTTTATGGTTGTCTCCTCTGAAGGGATTTGGGGTTGTTTGATGATAATAATGATAATAATAATAATAATAATAATAATAATAATGCATGTTTTACATGGCACTTTGTATGACACTTCACACACATTATTTATTATTTCATACACAGAGGTGATAAGCTACTAGCCAAACTAGTAGACTGTAATCGGCCTATTTATCTAGAAATAGGTAGATTAGTCTCTAAATACAATTAAATAAATCTGCACATAGGGCTTGGGGAAATAACAAGACACTTGAAGCTTTGGGAGTGTGTAGTTAAAATTCCACAGTAGGCGTAATTATTGTGCAATAAATGATGTTAATGAGATATTCTGTTGTTTTTAGATGCTAGATAATAAGGCTCCAATCAAATTTTAGCGGTTGCTAATTTAACCATTTTTAAATCAAGAACGGGGTCGCAACAGTGCAGTACCCTTTTTTAATTCATACTTCTGTTTTTATTCAAAGTTTTTACTGAAGTAAAGATCGATCATTCTGAACTCTTATTTTGAAACCATGTTTAAGTTCCGTTGGTGCCACGTTCTTAGAAGAACTAACTTTGCGTCTTACGCAAGTCAAATTTTTTTCTTGTTTAGTAACAGATTGCAAAACGCTCAAAATGTCAAAAAGGCAAAATTATCACCTTAGATAATACCAAACACAAGAAAACACACACCTGTTTATATCTTGCAACACATTGCATGGGTCTGTTGTAGAATTAACTTTCTGTTGAAATATGCAGTTTGATCACACGAGTCACCCCACACAGTATTTCTAACTTTGTCACATGTGATATCTGAACTGGGCTTTCTTGTAGGGGTTTATGGAAGTTAAAATGTTGAAACAGATTTAAACATGACCTCAGATTAACCCAGAGCTTTTCACTCGTTCTGTTGGGGACATACTTTAGCGCTCCCTGTTGATTCATAGGGGGAAATGTAGTTATCAGCCCCAGAAATTGAGAAATGTCCTTTTTTTGCCAACAATATTTTTATAGAATTTTGCATTTCAAAGACAGAACAAAACAATAACAAACAACAACAAATATCAGTAACATACATTTTAGCTGATCAGGAATATGGTTTTTATTTTATTCTCATTTGGGGATCTATTATAATTTAATTAGAAATAGTTTTGCATTTTGGTGTTTATATATTTTTGTTTTAGGGCAGCAGAGTAAAAGAAAAAAGAAAACATTTAATTGAGTTCAGTAATGCCAGATTCTGCCTTTGCAGCAGAAACTGGCATCTGTTTAAACTGATAACAGCTTGTGGAAAGAAGCTGTTAGCAGATCGAGATGTCCTGCATCTCAGCAAATGATAGCTTCTGCCAGAGGGAAGAAGCTGGAACTTGGCTTTTCCATGGTGGCCAGAAGAGTCACTGATTATTCTCAGAGCTTGGTTTAAAAGTCTGGATATATAAAGAACCTCCAGAACAGGAAGCCCACAGCCCACAGTCCTCTTTGCAGAGCGGAGCACCTTGTTTAGAGCTCTCCTTTCTTTGTGATGTTCATGTGACAGTCACAGAACCAACAAGCAAACTTTCAATGGTGCAGCAATAAAAGTTAAGCAAAAACTTAGAGTTAGTGGTAAATTCGCAGAAAGTAGAAACGCTGACGAACTTTGTTAACAACTCGGTTAGTGTTTTTGTCCCATTTCAGGTCGTTAGACAGAGATAAACCCTGAAACTGGCACTCCTCTACAATCTGCACCTTGGAGTTATCAATAACAACAGGCGAGAGAAAACTGTTGCGGCTAAAGTAAAAGACCAGTTAACATGTTTTCGATGCGTTCAGCCAGAGGTTGTTGGCTTTACTCCACTGAACCACATTTTGGATTTCTGCTCTGCAAGAGGTAAGTTTGTGTAAGCTCTCTGTCGTACAGGATTAGTCAAAGCAAAGGAAGGTTTCTCACCCATCATCTGTACTTCTTAGCAGGTTTTTCCGACGTTTTGTCCTTCATCTAAAGGACTTCTTCAAGGGAATGAAATCTCAGACTGCGGGTTGGAGATTTATAATTCTGATGCTAACTCATTAACAAACTAAGGTCTTTTTGATGTGGAAGGGAGCAGGTCTAACGACCCTGCTGGCGTTGTTTTTAGGACGTCTTCATAGATGCGAGGCAAAACATATCTTAACCCGCCTCCTCTATTAAGAGAAGGTTTGTGCTTCCTCACAAAATGGCTTCTTTCACCCCTCTCTCAAACCAATTTTTGTCTCAAGCCAGAATTTTGACCTCTATGTCGTTCACGGTGTGGTTGGTGGCCTTGAGGTGGAGATGTACAGCTGATCGTGGCCCACTAGAGTTTTCTCTATGATGTTGGTAAAGTCGTTTCTGTAGAGTTTGTTTAGTTTCTCCAATATAGTGGTCAGTGCACTCCTCTTCACTACATTTAATTGAATACACCACATTGCTCTGTTTGTGTCCGGGTGTTCTGTCTTTGGGATACACCAATTTCTGTCTTAACATGTTGAAAGGTTTGAAATACACAGGGATTTTGTGTTGCCTAAAGATTCTTTGTAGTTTCTTTGAAACTCCAGCCACATAAGGTAAAGACACTCCTCTCCTCCTACTTTCTTCTGTTTGTTAGATTGTGTCTCTGGCCTTTCTTGTACTTTGGGCTTTAGTAAAAGACTACTTGGGGTGGCCACATCTGGAAAGTGCTCTCTGAATATGTTTGGTTTCTCTGTTCTTTCCCTCTGAGCTCGTGGGGACCTGGTGGGCTCGGTGTTGGAGCATTCTAATGACCCCAAGTATGTGTTGTAGCGGATGATTTGAATCAAAGGCCAAATACTGGTCAGTGTGAGTAGACTTCCTGAAGACCTCAGTCTGTAATTGTCTGTTCTCAAGTGTGATGACCTTCAGAGAACACTTTCCAGATGTGGCTACGCCCATTAATATTTACAGTCTATGAGTCAGATCAAGGAAATACACATCGTCCCTGGGCTCGTCCGGGATTTACACCCGGGACCTCTCGCAACCAAAGCGAGAGTTGTCAAGTTGTCAAGGTAGGGTATGGGGTAAAATTTTCAGCTAGCAAGGTTAGCCTTCATAATCTACAATACTGCCATTGTGCAAAGCAGACAGGGTAAGGCAAAAATATGCTGACAGGGATTCTGGCTACCTCTGATCATGGTACCTTAATGGAGCTCAATTTTGGCCAAACACTTCCTGGAGAAGGGAAATTCTGTTGACTTCTGTCTCTTTGGGTTCCACTTACAAGCACCACCATATACAATCAAAGGAAAACATATTTTGGCCAGACCTGCACAATATTTAGCTTTTAATTAAGGGTATGGCTCTTGAATACGTTCTATTGCCCCACATTGTTCACCACTTACTCTAATCTCGGCATAAATCGTTTTTTAAACAAATAAGGAGCTAGCCCAAAGAACCCTATCTAAACCAAATGTTGGTGGGCGCTTCTCCCAATTCAAAGAGTGTTGATGGCAGTTTCTCAACTAAATGGAGTCCTACCTGTGACAAAGCATTCAACACAGCATTAACGTCTAACAACACACGCCCTAACTAGCCTTTGCTGATTTGAATCTTCTTTTTATCTTGTATACAGATGCCAGCCACTTGGGTCTAGGTGCAGTCCTTGCCCAAGTCCAGCAGGGTAAAGAGAGGGTGATAGCCTTTGCAAGTAAGTCTAAGCCCAAGTGAGAAAAAATATAATTTATAGTTATTTCAAGCTTGAATACCTGGCCTTGACCTGGGCAGTGGCCAAAAAGTTTGCTGAGAATTTGCATTGTGCCCCATTTATTGTGTACACTGATAAAAGACCCTAAGAGTGTCAGAGTATGTGCAGAGGCAATATAGGCCCAACCCACAAGAGAGGCAAAAGGAATCAAAATCACTTTTGAAACACTGGGATATGCTTCTACTGATCAATGGGGTGCTGCACTGCAAAATATGGGACCCCAAGTTGACCCTGTGCCACAGCTTCTTGTTCCCATGGGTGAGCAACACAATGTTTTTAGGATGTACCATGACCAGGCTGGCCACTGGGGTCCAGAAAAGACTATTTCATTGATCCAGAGGAGATTTTATTGGACCAAATTGAGTGACTCTATTGCCAAATGGTGTTTGCAATGTCAAAATTGTGTATTGCGCAAAACTCCTGCTCCTACCCGTGCCCCGCTGATGCCAATTAAAACCTCTGCCCCAATGGAACTTTTGTCTGCAGACTTTTTGTCCATGGGTCACCCGGAAGACCCGTATCATAACGTCCTAGTCATGGTGGACCATTTCACAAAGTTTGCCTGGGCTTTGGTTACAGGGGATCAAACGGCACTCACGACACAGAAAGTGACCCTCCCGGCAGACTCCAGGTGGGACAGCATCCTCTACTCCAATGTTGGGCCTGTAGGAGAACTGCAGCGGGTCCAGGGTGGGGCTGACCACAGAGCGGAGGTGGGTAAAATAATAATAACCCATCTACAAGAAATGGAGAAAAAGTTGGAAAAAGGGGAAGAGCCAAAGCAGCTCAGCGGGGGCTGCTCTGAAAAGATCACATCGAGCTGTATGATGTGCTATGATGAGCTATGATTATGTAGAGAAGTTTGATTAACGCTTACAAAAGGTTTAGAGAGGGACAGTCAAATTCCACGCTCTTCACCTGGGAGACAGGGGCCACAACATCAGTACGCTTCTCCCCCAAGATCACTCTATGTGTCAGCAGCACTCAGCTCTCCGTAACGCAGCGGCCAAGATACATTGCTATGTTGGAGCGGTCTTGTCGGGGTGCAGTCAGGTGTGGGCAAAAAAAA